ACTGCACTCTAGCCTGGACGACAGAGCAAGACTCTGTCTCAAAAAAGAAAAAAAAAAATGCACTCAAAACACTAAAAAGAATCTGACATTATTGATGGAAATTTATCTGGAGTAGTATCTATCCAGTAAGTTCAATTACCACTCTATTTTGCAATGAAAACAAAACAATCTCAAAACATAATTCTATACTTTTCTACGAGTTAATTTTGTAAAACAACCTGAGAAGAGTGCTTGAGACTTTTTATTTTTATTTTTTTTAAGACAGAGTCTTGCTCTGTGGCCCACACTGGGGAATGAAATAAATGGGGGGGTGGATTTTGATCAAAGGGTACAAGTTGTAAGATGAATAAATTGTGGAGATCAAATGTGCAGCACGGTAAGAATAGTTAATAACATTGTATTATATACTTTAAATTTGCTAAGGAAGTAGATCTTAATTGTTCTCATCATGCAGACAAAAAAAACAGAACTATTGGCCAGGTGCAGTAGCTCACACCTGTAATCCCAGTATTTTGAGAGGCCAAGGCGGGCGGATCAGGAGGTCAGGAGTTCAAGACCAGCCTGACCAAAATGGTGAAACTGTCTCTACTAAAAATACAAAAACTAGCCAGGCGTGGTGGTGCATGCTTGTAATCCCAGCTACTCGGGAGGCTGAGGCAGAAGAATCGCTCGAACCCAGGAGGCAGAGGTTGCAGTGAGCCGAAATCATGCCACTGCACTTCAGCCTGGGCTACAGAGCAAGTCTCCACCTCAAAAAAAAAATAAATAAATAAAAAGAGGTGATTTTGTGTTAGCTTGATGGTAGTAAGCATGTCAGAATGTATACATTATCAACACATCATGTTGTCCACCTTAAACACAATTTTTCTTTTTTTTTTTTTATGAGACAGAGTCTTACTCTGTTGTCCAGGCTGGAGTACAATGGCATGATCTTGGCTCACTGCAAGCTCTGCCTCCCAGGTTCAAATGATTCTCGTGCCTTTGCTCCCGAGTAGCTGGAATTGTAGGTGTGTGATCACCACACCTGGTAAATTTTTGTATTTTTAGTAGAGACAGGGGTTTGCATGTTGGCAAGGCTGGTCTCCAACTCTTAACCTCAGGTGATCTACCGGGCTTGCCTCTCCCAAAGTGCTAGGATTACAGGTGTGAAGGTGTGTACCACCTTCTCCAGCCGAGTGCTTAAGACTTTTGGTGAAACTATAGTTTCCCTTAAATTATAGTAACTATATATCCAAACAACAGATGTAAAATACAGTTATTTTAAAATACGTACATATGTGGATCCATAAACAATTAAGGATGTACATATGTATAACCATAAACAATTTTTTTTTTTTTGAGACAGTTTTGCTTTTGTTGCCCAGGCTGGAGCACAATGGCGCTATCTCAGATCACTGCAACCTCGGCCTCACAGGTTCAAGCGATTTTCCAGCCTCAGCCTCCCAAGTAGCTGGGATTACTAGGCATCCACCACCACACCCCGTGATTTTTTTGTATTTTAAGTAGAGATGGGATTTCATCATGTCAGCCAGGCTGGTCTCAAGCTCCTGACCTCAGGTGATCCACCTGCCTCCGCCTCCCAAAGTGCTGGGATCACAGGCGTGAGCCACTGCACCCAGCCATATTTTTTCCTTATGGCATACTATGCATTAACTACTTTTGACCAGCAACTCATGCAGTCTGTAGTTATGCACAAGACTGCTAATCTGGAAGACAGGAATTCTGAAGGTCCATAAGCACACGGTTAACAAGATAAAACTATGAAATACCCTACCACTGAGATATATATATATTTGTAACAAAGGGTCATAAACTATAATAGTTCTTTTCAATGGGAACTACTTATGAATGTTATTAATACTTATTAAACAGTAATGAAAAATTCTTTTAGAAATCAGCAGCTATTAACTACTGAATATCAAAACTAGTCACTTACTTCTGTAAGGTTTTCAGAAAAACCTGCAAAAGTCATAGACAGAATGGGTCCAAATTAGCTCATAATCATAACGAAGCTAAAAAAAAAATTAAGTTCCAGTATTATGTGGTAACGTATCACACAACGTTATTATACTAGTCAGCTAATGGAATAATGAAATTCTCTCCCACCTCTTCTCCCCAACAATATTAGCTCCAGAAGGCAGGGATCTCGGTCTTTCTAGCTATCCTGACAGACGCCCAGAACAGTGCCTGGCACATAATATTCAATATTTACTGAACAAATTAAATGATGGCAAAACAGGCAAGAGCAGGGAAACCTGAAGTGGTCAGAGTTTGATTACACATAGATGAACGTACAGCTGGTCAATCAGAACACCATTCACTTGAGTGAGTTGATGTCAAATTTGAGTTCCTCCACATTTTAGCAAAAAATCTTATTCAGAACGTAAGACTTCAAGAATTGAGTAGTGTAAGGCCGCAAACACTCCTAGAAAATCTGTTGTATAGGCCGGGCGCGGTGGCTCACGCCTGTAATCCCAGCACTTTGGGAGGCCGAGGTGGGTGGATCATCTGAGGTCGGGAGTTCGAGACCAGCCTGACCAATAGGGAGAACCCTCGTCTCTACTAAAAATACGAAATTAGCCGGGTATAGTGGCGCCTGCCTGTAATCCCAGCTACTCAGAGGCTGAGGCAGGAGAACCGCTTTAACCCAGGAGGCGGAGGTTGCTGGGAGCTGAGATCGCGCCATTGCACTCCAGCCTGGGCAACAAGAGCGAAACTGTCTCAAAAAAAAAAAAAAAAAGAAAAGAAAAAGAAAACCTGTCGTATAAAACTATTAACTTCATAAAATTCTAAGTAATTCTAAACTCTAAAGTGATCAGAATTTAGTAGGAAAATTAATATTAATCACAAATTCATAACCCAGCTCTGTGCCCAATCATAAGGGAAAACATACTAGTAAGCTTCGTTAGTACTCTATTGTCAACATTTCTCATGTTTACTTAGAAAAAAGTTCGAAACATTCCAAAAATCTTTAATTATTATCAAAACACTTAATTCTCCTAAATACACCGTACCTATTTACACAAAGCAGAGGTTTTCGCACACTGATTTTAGTATTTATGTTCTTGCAATTTCAGAATTCTGCATGAGCTGTATCCTTTTAAATTTTAGGAATTCAGAGAGGTCCTCATGTTCTCTGAGACTAAATTACTTGACTCAACTGGGGCAATCATATTAATATAAGTATTTTCTCAGGCAACTGCACTTCAGGAAAAGCTCTCTTTAAAAAGTGACAACAAACCTCCCTCTTTCGCCTGCACATCATACGAAGTATTTATGAATCTAAGAAGGGAAGACCAAGATCTTTCTCTAATTTTGTTTTTTAAAATCTTCTGTCCGACTGCTAGTTCGTCTGTCTTGACGTACGCCTTTTATTGTAGCGACATAGGCAAGTATGTCCAGTTTGTTAACAACAATACATTTTAATTGCTTGCCATAGTGTGGACGAACCAGATATGACACCCAAAGTTATACCCTATATGCTAAACACCACAAGGCTACGACACAACGTAATGCCAAAAAAGAAAAGGTTTCTGAACAGAACACGTTTGCTGTCACTGAAAGTGATGAAAGAAAGCAACTCTGCAAGGCGACTACACTCATTCTTTGGGCTCCCAAGGCTGAGAAATGGAGAACCAATTGTCCGGTTTGCTCTCTGTTGCTTCCTCCCACCCGGCCTTCCTCCGAGTGGCGAGGCAATCCTGCACAACAGTTTGTAAAGTGTTTAGGAGGCTTGTAGGATGAAAGACGCTAGAAACACACCCAATGTTACTAGTTTATGACCACTGAGCATTCCGTGGAACCACTGTCACTGCTTCGGGGGCAGGTTGATGGCACAGCCCTGCCTGGGGAGGGGGGCAGAGTGAGAGGGCAGCCCCTTCATCACCCTACAAGCTAGACTGGGTAATTTTTGAAAGTGTAACGAAACCCCACGTGAAAAGTTCCACACACGCCCCACACAGGGAGGACTTCGCCGCTGCTAACAGCGCCGGAGCCTGGGCCTACAACCCCGGCAACGTGGGGAGGCGTGGGGCGGCCGAGGGGCCCCGGCCGCAGCCGACGCCCGTGGAGCGGCTGAAGAAGCAACTCCCGGACGGGGGCGCGGCGCCAGGCCCGGACTCCCGGCGCGGGGAACGGCCCGGGAGGGCGGCCGCGCCGGGGCCCCGCGCCGCCCGGTTGCCGGGAAGGCTCGCGCCCCGCGGCCGGCGAGCGTGGGGGAGGGGAGGCCGGGCCTGCGGCCTGTTGGGGGACTTCAGCCCGGGCCTCGCGTGCGGCTCTCGGCCCGGCCCCCGGCCCCGGGGTCCCGGACGCCGAGGAGAGACTCACCGGAAAGGCCCGGATCCGCATCTTGGTGTCCTTCCGGCTGCCCGTGCCTTTGCTCAGATTCGACATGGTGCTCGTCCCCTCCCCGGCGGCGGCTTCAGGTCGCGCTCCGCGACGCCGGTGTCACATTTAAGGCGGGCAGGCAGGCGAGGGGCGACGCTGGGGGCGGCGCGGCCCCCGGGCAGGGCTGGGGAGCTGGCCGGCCCCTGGGCAGCCGCGGCGGCGGCGGGGGCGGCGGCTCGGGCTCCGGCTGCTCCGACGCGGCTGGGGGGCTGCGCTGGCGCGGTGGCTCCGCAGGGTCCCCCTCACGCCCGGCTCTGCTCCCTTTATCGCGCTCCTCCGCGATGGCGGCGGCGGCGGCGACGGACAAACATCTCACTGCGCAGGCCGAACGTCGTCCTCCTCCTCCTCCTTCTCCTCCTCCGCCTGAGCGAGACGAGATCCGGCCCAGAGGGTGGAGGGGGGAGGAGGGAGGGAGGAGAGCCGGAGAGTGAGAGATGCCGGGGGAGGGAGGTGGGAGGACGGGAGGGGGAGCCCGGCGGCCGCGGCGGGGACGCTCAGATCTCGCGAGAAGAGAGCGAGCGCGCTGCCCTGGTGGGGCGGGGCGAAGCCCGGGAGCGGGAGGGCGCCACCGGAGGGGAGGAGGGGAACAGGGAATTGAGGGAAGTGGGAGGGACCGGCGGGGCGGGGAAGCGGAAAGGGGGCGTGGCTGAGGGCGGGAGGATTAAGCTGCCTTTTTGAAAGAGGAGCGCCAGGTCCCGGATTCTGGGCGGAGGTGGTTGCTGATTGGTGGAACTCGAGGCGGCGGTTGGGCGGGTCCTGGTCACGTGGGGAGAGTGGGCGGGGGAAGTTCGGAGAGCGGGAGCTGGATTGTAGTGGGCTGGGCCCCACTGAGCTGGGATGGCAGGAGGATAGTCTTGGGGAGGAGCGTGGGGTGCTGGATGCATAACTACGTCCCGAACTGGTTCCTGTGTTTTTCTAGGGCATGTGGGCTAGGGATGGGTACTTGAGCAGAAGCCAGCAACTTGAATGAAGAGTCTGTGCAGGAGTTACCTGCAGTGTCGGAAATGACTGTCCTGTATGCTCAACAAGGTATTCGGACTGAGGGTGTACACCACAGCTCTCAGGACTGGAAGGTGGAAATTTAATCTACAGAGTTACCTTAAACTGCATAAACCTCAGGACCTCTTGATTCACTGTTATTTTCTGGTGGACCCAGGGCTTATTAATGTTAAAACCTGTTTTTCATTACCATCAGAATAAACTGACAGCTCCATTAATGAAATGCAGCATTTGGTAAATGATGTTAAGTGGAATGATAGATACCTAACTTTAACCTACCAGATAAATCATTTCTAGCATTACCAAGAGTATTGTAGATTTTTAAAGCCAAAATTACCGTCTGATTCAGTTGCTGTATATTTGAAAAGGTTTTGGCTTTTGGTTTTTGGGGAGAGGCGTTTGGTCGCTTTATAGTCAAAATGTCTAATTTGACTCATCGGTTTTGCTGTCCATTTATTATGAATTGTACTTCCTCATTTACCTACTTGCCCAATTGCTGTTATGTTTGGGTTTCTGACTCTGCAAGGGAATATGTGAGTTCCAACTAAAGTTTGTGTTCTTCCTATTTTAAAGAAGCATCTGTTTGGGGGATGGATAGCTACATTTAGAAGCTGGTATTTTAATACTTTTACATAACAAACTTAATATAAAGTGAAATACACTTATTTGTTGACTATAAGGTTGAATTTGCCCTAAATTAACTTAATCCTGATGTCTAAGCTTTTGAGTGTTGCGCTTAAAGCCCCTTCTTGGTTGAAACACTCCATTGCAAATACCGTATTTTCTTGGGGTTTTTTTTGTGGGAGATTTTTGGAATTGGCTAATTAAAGCAGGAGCTTAAGCAACAATGTTGCTTAAGACAGTATCTGCAAATACTGAAGCTAAAAATAGGTTATCAAGAATTGAGTTGATAAACTAACATTGGGAGAGGCTCTGACTTCAGTGTAAGATAATGTCAGTCTTGAAGAGGAGTTTATAATCTCTACGCTAATTGAACCTCCATTTCCATAACATTATAATATAATAACAATGTTTTTCTCTTGGTTGTACTCTCATATGACCCAGTTTCTTAGTAATGTAAGAATATATGTTCAGAGTAGGGATCTCTGAGGAATCAAAAAAAGAAACCAAAAAAATACATTTTAAAAAAGAATATATGTTCTTGGAGCCATTGTTTGAATCTCAATTCTGCCACTTTGCTAGCTGTGTTGTGCATCCTTTGGGGCATGGAGTTGACAATCCCTAGAATTCCTCATCTGTGAAACGGAGACAATAACAATACTTCCTCCTTGGGCTACTGTGAAATTTAAATGGATGAATATGTTTTGAAAAGCCCTGAGAGCTAGGCATGGAGCAGCAACTTACCACCTGTTGGCTGTCATTAACATGGGCATTAAAGCCAAGGTTATACTACTTCCTTTATTCAATAGATAGGTTTCTAAAAAACAACAACAACAAAAGCACTTGTATGCTTTTATAAAATGAGTCATATTTGGAAACTAAGCCAGTCGCCGACATTTGGATCTCTCAGACTAATAAAATATTTTCTGATAAGCAAGGGAGTCAATATAGGTTTGGCAACTTTATATTGGCAAGAGTATTAAAAAGGAACAACTAGCATAGATTATGCCCATTATTTATTAAAAAGTATTTTAACCTCAGAAATGGGGGAAGATTCATTTTTGAATAAAGGACAGTTCCTTGAATTGAACAGCCTCATGATGAACAATATGTCACACTAATTTTTCTTATTTCACTGTGAACCTAAGGAGACCTCATGGGCCAGCATTTAGAAACCCACTACATTAAGGTATATTTCAACTTAATTGTAAAGCATATAGTAAGTATAGTAACTCTAATGTATTTATTTTGTGAACCCAGATTTTCATATATTGGTGTTGCTTAACCAAAATTTAGCTGCATCTAAAAGAATCACTGTGAATTATGGCTTCCCTTAGGCTTTTAACCACCAAGGATCAGAAAAATGCTTCAAAATGAATTTGTCATTAAGAAATCTGCTCATTTATTTGTTCAGTTATTCATTTATTCAATAATTATTATTGAATGGCTACTGTATGTCAGGAACTAGGGTGAATGAGACAGATGGGACCTGCCATCACATCCTTTTTCACATCTCACAGTTTGTAAACCACAGACCCACGTTGGATTTGGCCCCAACTTTGTGTATACTTCAGTCCAGAAATCAGATATTTTCTTTCCTATGGAAGCAACATCCTCAAAATGTCTATGAAATACTTTCTGAAGCAGCAGTAGACTATTTTTCTGTGCCCAGTCATATTCCCTGACTTGCAAATAGCAAATAAACTTTCAGGATGTTGCTTTGCTGCAAACTGCCACCTGATCTAGCAGAGAAAGCAGCACTGGAATAGGAACTCACTAGATCTTGCATGCCTGGCGATTGATATTCCTACTCATGCTGACAGTGTCCTGAAACAGGAAAACAGGAAAACAGTGGCCTCATTTCGATTTATTCTTTCCATTTATGCATATGGAGCACGTGCATTCAGAGAGATCAGGCATTTGGGTGGGCCAGCCCCTTTTCTACATCCCAGTCTGTAAAAGAGCAATATAAGGTGTGAGGAGCTGGTAAAAGGAAGTAATAGCCTCTTCTCGACCATCAGTTTCTAGGTATTCAGGATACCAAGTCACTTTAATCAGGGTTTCAGATCTGCTGATTTTATTGTACAGATATTGTTTATTAAAACAGCTCGAAGCCTACCATTTCCATTTGAAAGACCTGTTCAATGGTTTTGAGTAGACCAAGAGTATGTTAAGAGAAAGAAAATGTTTTTCAAGTTGGAAGGCAAAGATATATAGATATTATCAGCTCCTGGAATGGAAGGGCTAGATCTTCTACTTTCTTGTCTCTACTAGGCAACTAATAAGTGTAATAGGCCATTAGATGTGGAGTTGTATATATTTAGGGTAGTAGCATGTACCATGTGCATTATAAGATGACATATTGTTGGTGAATACCCCATTGAGAACATAACCACAAATGCTTAAATATGTGAAAATTGTAGGCCTTCTCTATGCAACTTTTCTACTGCGTCCTTAAAATTTTTCTTATATCATTGAGACAAGAAGCATATGAGACACATAAGCATATGAGACAAGTTACATCTTAAACTAAAAAATGTTAAATGTCTCATTACATCATAAAAATCCATCTCAGGTTTTCATCAAATGGTCATACAAAAGAAAATCATCTCCCTGGCAGCTCTGTAAATGTTCTGGTTGGCTTGGACAGTCTCTTTGTTCCACATGTACCCAATAAATTAACATTTTGTAAATAAAAATATCTACACAACCAACCAAACCAATTTAACATAATATAGATTCTCAATTTAAAAAGATAGGCATGGCATCTATGTAATCTTATTTCAAAGAAAAATAATTTCTTCTTATTGATACCATTGTAACAGTAAATGTATCAAGAAACCTCTAGGGGACAGTTATGAGTATGTATTGCTTTCATTCATGACAAGTAAAGTATACGTTGAAGTTTGTAACTCATCAGCTCTGTCTTGGTGAAGTAAGTTAATTTTGGAGTTGAGATAAACATTGTACCAAAAGAGCTATAAAAGTAATGGTCTAAATTTTATGTTAGATTTAGTAATTGTATGAATTATAAATACTACAGTGGACAAATGTAATAGAATAGCATTATCTTTTTTTTTTGAAATGGAGTCTCGCTCTGTTGCCCAGGCTTGAGTGCAGTGGTGGGACCTCAGCTCACTGCAACCTCTGCCTGCTGGGTTCAAGCAATTCTCCTGCCTCAGCCTCCCGAGTAGCTGGGACTACAGGTGTGCGCCACCATGCCTAGCTAATTTTTTGTATTTTTAGTAGAGATGGGCTTTCACCATGCTGGCCAGGCTGATCTCGAACTCCTGACCTCGTGATCCACCCACCTCGGCCTCCCAAAGTGCTGGGATTACAGATGTGAGCCACCGTGCCCGGCAGTGGCATTATCTTTAAACCTCTTTAATAAGCTATTTGTCTTCAGTTCCTTAAAAAACTATATTCTTAACTCTTATATCTAGAGCTGGTAGAAATCAGAATCTGAGAGAAGGAGCCCTCATAAAGAAAAGAACCTTTAAGAGACTAAAAGATATAAAAATTGTTGGGGCCAGGCCAGGCATGGTGGCTCATGCCTGTAATCCCAGTACTTTGGGAGGCTGAGGTGGGAGGATCACCTGAGGTCAGGAGTTCAAGACCAGCCTGGCCAATGTGGTGAAACCCCGTCTCTACTAAAAATACAAAAAAAAAAAATTAGCCAGGTGTGGTGGCGGGCACCTGTAATCCCAGCTACTTTGGAGGCTGAGGCGGGAGAATCACTTGAAACTTGGGAGGTGGAGGTTGCAGTGAGCCAAGATCGTGCCACTGCACTCCAACCTGGACCCTAAGAGCAAAACCCCGTCTCAAAAAAAAAAAAAAAAAAAAAAAAAAAAATTGTTGGGACCTATTTCTAGCCTGAAATAGATGACATGAATTCCTAGAGTAAATTGATTTTTAAGTTATTGGTCTCTGAGTCCTCTCATTTTTTCATGGCTGGATATTGGGCAAAAGAATCCCTTTAATGGGCAATTCTGCAATGGTGTGACAAGTGGACACCTTATTAGGATAAAACCAGCAACTCGACATCAAACCTAGTTAAAAACCTTTTAAAGAATTTTCATTTTTGAGACATTGGTTGAAAATGGTATGGAACTTCTCTGTTACTGAAATTCTCATTGAGAAGTGGCTATCTCTACATGAATCTTTGGGTTTTTTTGAGGAAAAAAACTACTTTAGATGCTTGTTGTAAAGGCGGTTTCATATTCTTCTGTTAATTAGTATAGTGATGTTTGTCCTTTCTTGGGGAGGGGAGGAGGTATTTCCTATTAGTACCCTGGTCTCTTGTTTTAAAGGAATCACCCACTGGGTGTGGTCTTGGTGGATAGTGGCTTCCACTTCCTACCACGGTAGTCAGAGGGGCCTGATCTTTCCCGTCCTCTGCCCAGTTCGGC